CTTTTCTCTAAAAGTTAAATTTAATTTGAACTAGGCTTAAAGTTATAGAGTTTTAAAATTGCCAAAAGTTTTCTCAAAATATATTTATTTTTCGGTTTTAGAAACTCTTACAAATATAAATTGATGTAACTTTTTAATTGGTGTTTTAAGTTTATTAAATTAATTTGAATACTTTTAGGATTATTGAACTACAAAAGTGTTTTCAGTTCTAAAAAAGACCCTCAAGATCATACTTACGCCGAAAAAAAAATCTCTCGTTAAATGAGAACTCTCCTGGGAAAGGGAACTCCCAATTCGCAAGCGTTGTGCAGAAACTGCTTCCATTTCGCTGTTGGCCAAGTTAGCTCCGGCATTGGTATCAACTCGCCGGCATCTTCTTCGCTCCTAGTTTGGCTGCTCATCTCATCTCTCCTCGAAACCCAGCTCTATTTTGTCCGTTCTGTTCCGTTTGTTTCTTTATCGCGCATTTGCCAAGTGGCAAAGTTTTCTCGTTATAAGTTTTGTAGCCTTTGTGTGTCTCTCGCGCAGCTCAAAGCTTTTTGCCGAGCCGAGCGCGATGCGAGGAAACTTTCGATATTCCTTGAAAAGTTTATGGCCCAGCGTCGAACGAGTCGCGAATTGCCGAAAAAAAAATAATGGAAGAGCCAGGCTTCGACTGCAACCCGATTTTCCTCCACGCCGCCCCCACCAACTTAGCAACCCAATTGAGAGTTGGCAAACAAAAAATTATATTATTTTATTGTTGTTTGGTTGGCGCATAACTTTATGCCAAACACTTCGCTCACTGTGGGACTCGCATTATCCCGACGAAACTTTCTCGAACTGGAGTTTTTGGGCAAATCGAGGAAATGGATAACTTCGGTTCGTCCATAACTTTTGGCTCCATTTGCCACCGAATTTTGCTAAAGTCAGAACCAGACTCAGCACAGATAAGGAAAACTATTTCCATATTCATATGCAACTGGCAAGTGCACTTTAAATTCTTGCAAATGACTAGCTCGGCTCAATGCAGTTGAACAAATCTTCCATTCCTATTTTGATTGCCAAAAGTTAGTACAGGCGTAAATAGGAAAAATCTGATTATATGTATAACCGAATTTCGTCAGTTAAATTATTTGTGTTACTCATAATTTAATACAATGTTACAATGTTACAATAATTTAAAGATAAAATCAATAGTTTTACCTTAAATACCAATTTAAATACCAATGTGGTCTTAGAGATTTAAAAGAAAGCTTTTCAAAGATTTAAGCTGGCGATTTCTAAACCCTTTAGTTTCACCAACAAACGAAACAATTAAAAAATTTTGGGATGTGAAAGTTTGACACCATCCTTTATAACCAACCAACCAATTGGTAACTTTGACACTTTCATAATTCTTTTCCCCAACCTACTGTACATTTTCTTTGGTCCTTTGATACTTGCTTCCTTAGGACTTCGAATTTTGAAGATAAGCCCAAAAAATAACTAACATGAAAATGGTTCAAAAATTTAATCAACGCTAAAAAAAATTTTTTTAGATTTTTAGAGAATCCACCCAGAAGTCTTTAGAGGTATGCCACTTTGAGATCGGATTAAATTTGGTAAAGTTATGACTGTAGAAGTCCAATTGAGGGTCACCTTTTTACAAGACATTGAAGACTTAGAAATAACTAACATGAAAATGGGTCAAAAATTTGATTAACGCTAAAATGAAAATTTTGAATGCAGATTTTTAGAGAATCGATTCAGAAGTCTTTAGAGGTATGCCACTTTCAAATCGGATTAAATTAGGTAAAGTTATGTTCTGTAGAAGTCTAATTGAGGGTCACCTTAAAACAAGACATCGAAAACTTAGAAATAACTAACATGAAAATGGGTCAAAAATTTCATCAACGCTAAAATGAAAATTTTGAATGCAGATTTTTAGAGAATCGACCCAGAAGTCTTTAGAGGTATGCCACTTTCAAATCGGATTAAATTTGGTAAAGTTATGTACTGTAGAAGTCCAATTGAGGGTCACATTTTTACAAGACATCGAAAACTTAGAAATAACTAACATGAAAATGGGTCAATAATTTGATCAAAGATAAAATAAAAATTTTGAATGCAGAATTTTAGAAAATCGACCCAGGAGTCTTTAGAGGTATGCGACTTTGAGATCGGATTAAATTTGGTAAAGTTATGTACTGTAGAAGTCCAATTGATTGTCACCTTTAAACAAGACATCGAAAACTTAAAAATAACTAACATGAAAATGGGTCACAAATTTGATCAAAGCTAAAATAAAAATGTTGAATGCAGATTTTTAGAGAATCGGCCCAGAAGTCTTTAGAGGTATGCCGCTTTGAGATCGGATTAAATTTGGTAAAGTTATGTGCTGTAGATGAAATTTGATGAAAGCTAAAATGAAAATTTTGAATGCAGAATTTTTGGGGAATCGACCCAGGAGTCTTTAGAGGTATGCCACTTTGAGATAATAGCCTCTGCAAGGGTATAAATGGTATTCAACTATATTATGAACTTCTGGAGTTGACCACATTGACAATATATTTACATATAATTATAAATAATAATACGATAAAGTTTTAAAATTATTTGATAATTATTTCAAACTGCCTCTCTTAAATTCCAAAATGAATTTATGTGTCTGATTATTTCGCACACTTACCCAACTTGCAGCCAAAAAAAAGTGGTTCTCCAATTTGTTGAGCCTCATACCAATAGTTGTTTTATTTGTATAATCTAAATTTATACAAAATTGTGAGGGTAGCAAGCAGAAAAAAATAAATACATTCTTGATCAGCATGAACAGATCATTTTTTCTTGATGTGATATAATTGAGGTCCCAGAACTTGTAAGCGATGTTTTAAACCAACACGTATTGTCAAAGTCTAACAGTTATATTTTCATTTAAAATTGAATTAAAAATTTAATTAAAATTCTGATAAAATGCTTAATGTGCTGGTAAACAATTCTCAGCTCATTATAATATGCGCTTCGGTCCACTGAATTGGCCTTAATGGATCTTCCTGCCGTTGACCAAAAGCGGATGCAGTGCATCAGCCGCGAGCTGAGCGCGACCATATTGTCAGTGTTTCTGACCGACCAGCCATATGTTTGTAATTGCGAATTAAAATGGAATTTTTGTCATACGCCCGGCAATTAATATGCAATTGGCGATAAGTAATAAACAATAATTAAGAACTTATTATGGGCGGGGGTGTGGTGCTGGTGGGCGGGCCGGTGAGGAGTGGTGGGTGTGGAGTGGGCGATGTGGGAGATTTATGCAGGAACTAATTTTCAAGGTCATTAGAATGCTCACCGAATGGGGAACCGACTGACACCGAGCATCCCATTGTTTGGCTAATGCTTATTGATAATCGCAGACAATGGACTAGCCCACTGCCATTGTTGTTGCTATATTGTTGCTCGAGCGTAACCCATAAATACTCAGGGGCAGTCAAAACAATCGGTGGGATGGGTTGGATTTTATTGGGGGAGTTGGCAGAGGACGACGGCGGCGCCTTGGCTGAGACAATAAACAAGGCAAATCAACGCAATCGATAGGCACTTTGATTTTGGGCTCTGGCTCCCACAAAATAACCCGCAGCCCGCACTCTAACCCCACTGCCACGCCCACTTCGAGTGATGCCCGGCGACGGGGCAACTATTGTCCTTTTTGGGCGGGCGTGCAGCAAATGGCACAACTTCCGCTTTCGCTTGACTGCTGCAAAATTCACGGAAATTATCAATAAATATGCGAGGCCCGACCCGTAAAATGAATGAAACTGGCAAATTTTTCGCCATATCTCACTGGCTGATTTTTATGCAGCACGGCGCACACAATCCAATGTCCTGTGTCCAGTTTTGTGAGCCCCATAACGGAAGCATCATTATCATAAATTATCATTTTGTAGGAATTGCATCCGCTGCGAGCCAGAAAAACCGAGCAATAACAACAGAAATGACGACAATTTCAATTGCCGGCATCTCTTCCTCTATATCGCCCTCTCTTTCTGGCCCACCCCCAACCCACCCACTCTCTCCCCGCAATTTTACTGGCCGATTCCAATTGCCAAATACTTTTCTAGTTTAATTTATGGCTGACCAAAGTGACCGGGGTCCATAATTTGTTTTTTTTTCTGCACGAAAATCTGTTTCATGTTCAACACTTTAATGCGATTTTTAATTGGTACTTGGTTAGCTATCTGTTTTAAATATAGCATAAGCTTAAAGATAAAGTAAAGCTTATCTTCCTTTTAAGTTTATTTCGAAATAATTTGTTAAAACTTACGAAAATCTGTTTAATGTTCAATATTTTATTGCGATTTTTAATAGCTAATTAGTTATTTGTATTCAAAAGTTTAAAGGTAAAGGAAAGGTTATCTTCCTTAAAAATATATAATTATAACCGAAAATAACTATAGAATTGCTAAAATCATAAGCAAAAATATCTATATAATTATGTTGAAGTACAGATGATTGATTTTCACAGAGATTTCGATTTGAGTTCGACTCTCGAGTCACGTATACACCATGAATCAGGAACGTGATTGAGGCTACTCATCAGTCCCTGATCCGATAATGAATCACAGCTGTACCATATGAAATATCCATCGATTTGCTTTACAGATGCCAGCACGTCAAGCTTACGGAAAAGGTTTAACCTTATATATTTTTATAAGAGTTGTTTCTACTAAGATAAAAGTATTCAGTACTGTACGAAACGGTTTTAAAATAAAATATGTTCAGTATTTTTCAAAGATTCTTCAAATATTTAAAGTACTTTAATTTACAAAAAAAGTATTTGTATAATATAACTAACTAAAGAAAAGCAAAACAAATTGTTTTAAGAGAAATGGAATCCAAGTTTGCAGGATAAGCACCTTAAAACATGAGTGTTGAAACAAATAGTGTTCAAACTTTTAAAGTTCATTTGTAGATACAGTTTTTTGTTTAACCTTTTTTATCTCCAACAATTTATCTTACCTTATCCCTTTTGAGTTAAACGACAAATGTAGCTTTCACCTTTTTTTATGAAAAATAATCAAAATGGAAAGTGTTTTTGTCTTATACACCTCATTTATGATTCTGATGGTTCTACTTCAATGCACGCTCGTGTCGTCTCTTCAAAATACTCTATATTTCTTTTGATACAATGGGCAGAAACCCGACCGCCCACCAAGAGAAGTAAATAGTTGACGTAGAGCACAATTGCGACGAGCAGAGCATCATCCTTGACCAGTACTTCGAAATTGTTGTAGGTGATCAGCACGTGGCAGATCGTCACAACAATCACACTGAATATGAACACACCAATAGCAAGATCTCTCCAAAAGAACCAGGCAGTGAGGACATCCATCATGGTAATTAAAAAAGCCAAAACGAAGCCTGCGGCTCCCACGACGGCCACTTTAAAGGGGTTCACATAGAATCCGGTCAGGATTAGAACTATGCAGACCAACAGCACCAGCACAAGGATCAGAAGGGCCACGCAGATGACGATAATGGTGCAAACCAGCTCCCATTCCATCAGAAAACTGGCGGCACCCAGAGTCAACAACTCGTAGCAAATGATGATGGCGATGTAGTTCCAAGGCCTCCAGTACTTCAGTGGTTCCAACAGATGGATGCAGATGAGCACCACGACCGCGACGAATAAGCAGGTCAACGTGTACACCAGGTGATCTTTGGCAAAGAGGCACATTAACATCCATTGCGGAAAGGCGGCCAGTAGACAGATCGACAAAATTAGCAGGGTGCAGCAAACAAATTTGCCTTCGCTTATGCCATTCTCATTTTCCGCCATTGCACGACTTAACTGCGGTCTCGATGGATATTACTAAACACTTTAATCTTCTCTGTCTTTCAGCGTAACTAAAAATTTTGGTCATATTTATACAAATTATTACAAAAATGTTTTTTGCATCACAAATATTTGAAATAATGTTCAAAACAACTGGGATAGGTAGAAATCAAACAGGCTTTACTTTACTATTTATTTGTCTTGAAGAACATAGTTTAAATTTTGATTGAAAACATTTAAAGAAAACACATTTAAGCCATTTTTGAATCATAGTTTCATGTTTTCTGTTTTTGATAGAAACTAGTTATTAACCTTTTTTAGAATACCTATTGTAAAATAACCTATTGTAATATAAACCTATTGTAATATAAACATTTTTTAAAAATAAACAAAATATGAGATATTTATAAATAAAGAATGAAAATTAATAATATTTTTTTTGGTTTTCGTTCAACTTAAAATCGTATTAAAATAACATGTAATTCACTTTTATTCATAGTTCAGTTAATATTTGTCGAACGTTTAAATAGACGATATGTGTAAAAATAACTTTGTATTCAGTTTTATGAAACGTCGTTTGTTAGCTGAATTAAACTTAATTGTAATTAAAACTTTTTTTTATGAATATACAAAACGAAAAACCTGGTTTCTTATAAGGGATGTTCAATCCAATCTTACTATCCAATTTGGCAGCCTCCCCATCCAAATCTAATATATGGCAGCCGCAAAAGTGCCGACTCTGCCACACCTCTTGAGGGCTTATTCTTCATCGTTTTTGGGCCATCAATTTGAGGCCCACTGAGCCCCTTTGGAGAAGAAAACAAAAAATGAAATCAGAGAGCCGAAGCCCGAGAAACGCTACATAAATGAAAAAAAATGTCGCATAAGCCGTCGCAGGACAAACTGCAAGGACACTTGAGGCTCGGCAGCGGCCGAAAGTCCTTTGAAGTTGGATAAAAACTCGAATCCTGTGGGTGGTCTAGTATGTCTCCAAGGAAATACAAAAAATACGGATCGCAGGCAGGAGGAGTGAAGAGAAAAATCAATCTGCGACTGCCATTGGTAAGGATATGAGAGGCTCTATAATACTATACGATAACAAATACCAAGAAGCGACCTCAGAGTCCAGGAAAAATATATACTCACAGATGCGGTCAAAATAGTATTTTCTGACATTTAATTTCTAGCTAAATTCATAGAAAATGTATTATTTATAATGATGATAATCGGGTTATGTCAACCTTTTTTTTTATTTTAAAAGGAAATGAAATTGATAACAGAAAGACATGTTAAAAGATCAAAATTGTGTGAAAATCTTTTGAGAAACTTTTATATTTAATACAATAGTATTTAAAAGACTTTTTCCAGGCTCAGTAAGGCTTTTCAACAACTACTACTGTGATGACCACAACTGTACAGCATAATGAAATAAAAATAAAAGAAAATGTTTGGCTGGGAAATTGAATTGGAAATGCGCACACTGAAACACATACGAATTGAATGCTGGAAAAAACCAATCAAATAAGGGAGAGACGCGATGACTGGTCCTGGACTTCACCTGTCGCCGATTTCGTTCTTAATTTTAATTGAAATTCATACAATATCTTTTTTCCTTCGTTGTTGTTGTTGTCGCAGTGCTTCTTTTCGTATAATTACAAGCGATTAAAATCTGTGAAAATTTATTAAATTCCATAAATCAGCACTGGCATGACCCATCCCCGAGCTCGTTCGACGGGCATTCCCTTGACAATTATAAATTATGCGTTCGTTGCCAGGCGCAGCCACCTCCTCTTCTCCCCCGCCGAAAAGGACGAAATTGCTTAACCACAAAATGTCACTTCACCCGTTTGCCCTGGCTGACTGACAATGACCGTTTTTTAACGTTCCTGATTATGTAATTATCTAGGCTTGGGTCTACGTCCTGCACAGCTTCATCCACCACAATAAAAATATGCGGCGACCCCATCTCGAGGGTTAAGATTGTACATCTACCTCATCGTCACTGGGGCAACCTGTATTGGTGTGAAATAAAAACCACAAGTCCATATGCCAATTAGTGGTTTAATATCAAGAGATTTAATTGCATATATACATCTCAGAAATGATCAAAGGATAATACAAAAATAAAGTTATTTACTTAATTAGCTCATTTTTATATCTATATACTAGCTATTAATTTAAGAACAAATTATTATAAAATAATACCTTATCCAACGAATTAAAGAAATTTAATTGTTAACAAAGCTTTAAGAAATAATAAAGATATCTGACTAGACCGCTGATATATCTATGTACCAAAAATAAACTCCAAACTTTTACTTTAAACAACGAATTTATCTAATAGAACGTTTTAGAAACTTTTATATGATATATCTGTAAAAATCAATGATTCTAGCATTTTTTTACTCATTCATATATCTATATTTCAAATACAATAAAAACAAGCAAAATATTTGTACGTGGAATTCCAACAATTATTGCTAAACATTCATCACGACAAATTACAATGCCCGGCAATTTTGACCCACAAAAAAATCGGAAAAAAAATAATACAACAAAAAGTAGGAAAAAACAAAAAAAAAAAAGAAAAAAGACCACAGACAGCAGTTAAATGATGCTACTTAGGCGATAAGAGTAGAAAAAATCAGGACAACCCCAAGCGCGTTATTTGTTTTGTGCGTTGTCCAAAACAATTTCCTTCCTTAATCACATGCTAACAGCGAGGGGGAAAGCAGCCAAAAATGCATTTATCTGACCAAGGAAGAACAAATCACGAAGAGAAACTCGCAGAAAAAAACATATATATACACCGAAAAAAAGCAAACCTTCGCAAATTAAAATTTTTAGACCAATTAATTACCAAGCATTATTTTTATTGAAAATGAGAATATTGTCACAAATGTATTCTCTGTGCTCTAGTGCTTTTAGAAAAAAAATCAATAAAAAGATAAGTTTTCAAAATTAAATCTAAAGCTTATTTTGAAGAAGAAATAAAAACACACTTTTATGTTTATATATCAAGTATCAACTTTCTATATGAATATCAAGCTTTTCGCATTTTTGTCTTTTGATCAATAGGTTTTGAGACTTGGATGATTGAAATGGAAAATATAAATATTAGACACTTTTCTCGCTCTGTAAATATATAGAGGACCCAGCCACAACGTTTCTAATTGTAAAAGATAAAAAAGCAAGGCAACTTTGGGCTGCTCGACATTTCTCGTTAGACCCCGGCAACAAACAAAAAAACGGTGAAGATAAATGACAGGCAACTTTTGGGTGTGGGTTCCGTGGATTTTGGATCGGACTAAAGAATGGGAATGGGAACGAGTCCTACAGAGTGCGTTTGTATGTGTGTGTGTGAGTGTGGGTGTGTGTGTGTGGGTGTGTGTGTGTGGAAGACATTTGCCGGCAACTGTAGCATACTTTCGAGTGTCTTTGGGCTTTCAGCACATTCTATGTGTGCCAACAGCTTGTCGAGTGGTTCTGCTTCTGCCCGCCTTCCCCACTTTTTAGGGGTTCGTTTTTTTGTCGGTATTTGTCCTATCGATGTCGCCATAAGTTGCGCAAACCCCTTCAGATGTCGGCCGCCTTGTCCGCCTGCCACAATTTCCCCGATTCCGCATCGCTCTCTGCTTGACCAAGTGCAAAATGTCAAGTTTCCTCACTTTGATGTAAGTCTGGATGGTCGGATGGATGTATGTAAATACGTATAGCTTATCGGCTGCCGTGTTGTGTGTTTTAATCGAAAACACCACCCTAACCTAGGCCAAATAATCTCGCTTAAAGCTGATTATTCATCGTAATGGGAGCGGACTTATCGGCAATCTGTCCTGAGCCTAGAAATTAATTGAACTGTTTGGATTTTGCCCGTCATATGTCTGCATTTCATTTGACAATAGGTCTATTGATTAGAAAGTCGGCTTTTCAAGGATTTTATGAAGGTTCAAATTAAATTGGTATACAAATTTCACATTTCTCATTAAACGGTTTGATTTAAATTTAACATAAAAAGGAAAATAGGATTAAATAAAATCGAGTATTCAAAGAATTTACAGCACGCTTAGTTCAAGGTCTAAAAAAGATATGTCATATTACTTTTGAAGATAAAAGAATTTATATAAGTATTGCGATTTTATTAAATAAATTATTATAATTCCATTATGCGACAATTTATTCAAAAATCCATCTACTGAGGGTTAGAATACAAAAATAATCAATGAAAACCATCTATTACAAGCCAACTGAGCATTTTCTCATGGCAAATTATCTAAGATTAACGATAATTAAATTTATTGATGGCATATGCAACCCTCATTGACAACGAATTTCAGGCAAACATTATTAGTCTGAGGCAGGCAATACAACAAATGGGTTTCTTGGTAGGGGTGCCTTGTACTTAGAAATCTAGGGTCACTGAGGTAATCTGTCATTTGCCTTTTTAAATAAAACTGGAAATTGAAATACAAAATGATTGTCCAAAAATATTTAAGATCACATAATTTCGATGGAAAATGCGGGCAAAAAAATAGGAAAACCATATGATTCCTTCCTAAAATGTAGGAAAAAAACTGAACTATAATTAGTTCAATTAAAACTATTACTGAACTTGACCTCTATTTGAATATGCGGGTCCTTACCTCTTACATGGGATGTAAATCCATTTATTTGCTTATCCATTTCATTATTTGTGTTTTGATTCTCACATCCTTATTGTTCACAAGTTGAAGTTGAGTTCCTTGAGTTGGGGTGTTTAGGGCCGGCACAGAGAAAATACAATTTTTATTGGATTTTATTTTTATTGTCCTTCATAAATTTATTTATTTTATGATATTTCTGGATATTTTTTTTGGGTTGTGGGCACATTGATATTTGACAGTTATTGCGGGTTCCGGAAACGCCCAGTTTTTCTGGTTGCTTTTTATGGAATGCAATTTTATTGGTGGGTTATTTGGTCGATTTGTTTTACTTGTGAGTGTGGGTCCAAAAGGCTTAGACACAGTTTAATATATAATATTACATAGTGTAAGTTACGTATGATAAAGAATTTAAATTTATTTAACAGAAGATTTTACAAAAAGGACGTTCAGCAGTTATTTAAATAGTCCACTATTTGAAACGGCAATTTTTTATACAAGTATTT